GGTCAAGAGGAATTCGCCGTCATCTTCTGGTGGAACCGACCTTTGAATCACTTCACACAACTATTCTACTTGAAATGGAAGTAATCCCAACAATTATGAAACAAGAGATTCCTTAAAACCCAACTTTTCTTCGTATATACTGGCAGGAAGACCTAGAGAAACACACACCTTGCCCGTAGTCCATAGTATGCATGATTATTTCCAGTGAAGGACCGTGGACTTGGTACATCCACAGACGTTTTGACGACATCGTAAGTGAGCCTTGCCATTCTTAGCAGCACACTGCAACTCGTCAAAGAGACAAATGAAGCCGATCCTTTGACCAAATGTGTGATAAACAGTTGGGGTATCTCTCCCTGAACAAACTTGTTCCGCGTGCCCACTTTGTCGCATCATACACGCTAGCAGCTTTGACATGCTTAACCATTCTACTCAGTCTCTCCTCTCCGCATCTGCAGCTGCCAACATTAACGTTTCAACTGGTCGGCCATTGGCCCCTCGTCCCAATCTGCTCCGTGTTGAGATAGATCTGCCAGGCATCGAGACTGTTGCCTGTCTTGATTTGGATATCTCAGAGACTCGATTTCGCCTTCAAGTTTGTTTTTCTGATAACGATTCCCTCTTTTGTCCTTGTTATTCCTATCCTTTTCTTTGTATTATATAGTAATTGTCCTTACCTTTCAGCTATTTGTAGATCTTTCAAAATTCTGTGACTTCATGGAAGTAATGAGGATGGCTTGCACAGTAAGGTTGGTGTATATGTGTTATCAAAAGGCTTAAATCTTAGTGTAGAACAACGCATTGAGTAGCACGGATACGGTGGCAGCGATGGAGTGAAATCACTTAAACTAGTGGACAAGGGAAGGAAGTGAAATCCGCTAAAAGTGGCACATCATCCCACATTCAAATAAGCAAGTAAAGATGGCCATAGTTAAGGAGTGATACGAGGATATAGGATTGGAGGATAGGCCAAGGCTGCAGGAGAGATACCACAATTGTTTCGCAGTCAATCGATCAAAGGGTCGGCTTTACTTATCTCTTTGACGAGTTGTAGTGTGGTGCTAAGAATGGCAATGCTCATTGACGATGCCAACGAAACGTCTGTGAATGTACCAAATCGACGGTCCGACACTGGATATAATCATGTATACTATGAACTCCGGACAAGGTGCGTTTCTCTAGGTCTTCCTGCCAATATGACCAAGTCGCGAAAACGAGGTCAAATAACTTCTATAGAATCGAAATGAGACCGCGACCATACAAAAGGCCACACCATCCTGGTCTTCATATCTTTGTCTAACGCTTTAATTGGGTAAGCGTCCATATTCAGGCTGAAAGTCAACGATGAACCTGCTTTCATAGCATTAAGGCGTGAAGTGCAATTTTGAACATGTGTGTTAAATAAAAACTCTCTCTTATTCCGACTGAATGGGAATTTTAGAGGCACCTTACAGAGAATTTCATTGTATCTGTGCACGAGTAATAGCTAAATCATGTGTCGAGCGATATTCCGTGAGAGCTATAATAACATTCATGGGATTCTAAGCCCGATTTGTAGGCTTAA